ATATATATATATATATATATATATATATATATCATGCATCTCCCAGTGCTCAACTTTCTCTGATTTGGAGGCCGGTGGAGCAATTGGTCTGTGGGTTCTCTGGCTAGAGAGAAGAAGACACTGCAAACATGCAGTGTTGGTTGATGCTACATAAATGTCTTTTGATAAATTGGCTTGACCAGCTTTCCCTGTAACACTACTACCATTGATTCTGGGTGTTAAACATCACCAAGACATTCAAGAATGGTATAGCAGAAGATGAGAAGAGAAATCATTCAAGAACTGCATTGTTCCAGTTTTGTTGGATGGGTAAATGTTCATTGTCAAAGCAAGGATTACAGATCCGAAAGAGTGCAAGAAAAATCAATCCTACCAGGCATCATTGTCTTCTCACATTGGACTTCAAAAGGGAGTAAAACATCAGTCTATCGATAAATGACAGTGGAGTTCATCATGGCTGTAGTGCGTATGGTGATATAACAAGAAAAATCAGACAGTACTCGAACAAAATCAGTGGAGCCAAATCTAATGAGACATATTTCTTCATACCATGAACTAATGGAACCGGTTTATCTTCAAGAATCTTTGACACAAGGATAATGTGGTTGTGTCTTCTGCTTACCGAAGAATGTGTCATAGTCTATGCTGAAACCTGCATGGTGCAGCAATCACACAGGCAATTAGGAAAGAAACATTACCATAGGCTACAAAATCCATAGATACATAACAAATCTTTGTTGATTCTATTCGAAACGCTGACATAATATGAACAAATTTCCCAGATATCGAGATGGAAGAAAAATTATCATGCTCTACATTTCATCAACATGCATGTTATTTCAGAAATACAATTATATAGAATCAAGAAAACTGTTAGTTCACTAATTTAAGCAACTTCAGAAACAGATGAACAGAAGTTCTATTCATGGGTCTGATTAAGTTCTATTCTTGGCCAATCTATTATACCCGACTTCAAATATTGGTTTCTACAGAGCTGATGCAGCAGTATCTTTCTTGCTTCTAAGAGTAACTAAGCATCTTGAAATGTGAACTTATACATCTATGATCGACATGATCACCTCAGACAAGATTCTGTCGATATGCGTACCACTTTCAGGGGATTCTCTTATTTCTGCAGAGGTTTCTGGAGAATGCTCGCCAGCCCTGGCTGCACTTTCTGGATCTAAGTCATTAAGCTCATCGGATAATCTCACAACCTGGAGAGCCACAAAAATAGGCTGACAATTAAGAAACAAAAGACGATAAGAGAACTTAAGGAACCACAACAGCAAAGTTCCACCTCAGTGAGACATGCTAAGACACAGCATTGTGTTACATAAATTTCTTTATATCCGCATAAAAAAGATCTACAGAAAATTTATTTGTGATTGACTCAGCGAGTTATTCCCATCAAATCCATATCAACACTGTATAAGAGAACCGATCCTCAAAGTTTAGAATGACCAAAATTTCATACAAGTATGAAAAGACTTTAGATTTTGTTAGATATATAATAGTCAGTCACAAAATAAAAAAGAATCAAACCACCTAGGACTTTTTATATATGTCATTAGTGTTAATTAGACATCAATTTGATCACACATCAACATTAAATAACTGAATAAGAAGGACGGGCTCTCATCTTAATAGCTAGACCAACACTGTGCGCATCATGAGGTGAAAAGTTCTAGACCATTGCTCCAAAAAAAAAAGCATCCTGAAAATACCAGAGACTATTGCATTGAAGACCTCTTAAAATAAAGAAAAGAAAATGATGTGCAGCAATTTGTCTAGCAGTTGTATCATTTTCAAGGACTAACATCAAGATTGTGAATATTTAGTAATTATAAGAAAGTGATCCGTAAAAGAATAAGAATTCTATTAATTGAAAGAATGTTGATGTGACTTTCATGAACCTTTTCCTTAGATGATTTTATGCAAGATATATATGAAATACAAATTACGAATGTTCAGAACATCTTCATCGAATTTATGGAAGGACTATCTTCTCGAAAGCTACGATTATCTCTGTGCCTATGACAAACAGAAAAAATGTCCTTATGCCATGGTATCGAAGAATTATCCTGCACAAATCAAAGATTATTACTGCATTCAAGAACGCCTTGTTCATTTGAAGAAAAATAATCATCCATATGACTTTCTTGAACCTTTTCCTTTTGATTGTTTAATGCAAGATACATATGAACTACAGATCAGGAAGGTGCAGAACATCCTCATGGAACTAATTGCGTCTAATCGATAGAACTCGATGTAATAGCATGAGCAAAATAAGATCCACTGCCATGGAAGACTAGTCTTTGTACCTCTTTTTCACAGATCGATTTCTTTGTCGATAGGTGTTGGAATATTGAATCCACTTGCTCAAGTTCGTCAAGGCAATCCTTAAAGATACCGAAGTTCCGGGTACTATCAGCCTGCACAGTAAGAGACAACATATACCATCACTATGACAAGAAAGCGAACCGGAAAGAGAAAAAAAATGGGAAAACGAAACCAAAGACGGAGCGATTTGGGGGAGGAGCAAACGCTGACCATGTTCCTTTCTATTTCGTCCTTCCTCCTCCAGGCTAGTGTTTCGAGAGAAGAGACTTGACATTCCAACTGGGTGCGCATTTCCTGGCAATACTGGAGCTGGCGCTGCATCCTCCGCTGGGCTTCCGGAATGCTATTGGCGTTCCCCATGGACGCGAGAGCGAGAGCGAACGAGAGAGAGAGAGACCAGACTCCTTTTATAAGCAAGGAGAGGCGACGGACGCATTAAGATTCGTGCCCGTACGAGGAGAGCGAGAGGGGGAGGGAGAACGAGATGGAGCAAAGTAGTGTCAATCGTCTGATGAGAAAAGGACGGTAGATGATCGCTATTTCATCAATCTCCAGGCATTGCAGTTAAATACTTTTCCACATGGTATTAATAGCCCTTTTTTTCTCTCAATATTTTTCCTTTTTCCGCCGTATGAAGTTGAACAGTGGATTTGCCTTAATCATATAACGCAAGAAAAATCAAATAAATTGTTTTTTATCGCGTTGAGGCAGCCACCTGCATGCAGCTCCACAGGGATTTACTGACATTGAAAATTATGGTCTTGTGCACTTGTTTCATATTATTACATTAACCCCCCTCCCCCGAAGTCAATTATAATGGAATTTGTCAATGTTCCATACATATTATAGAGCATTTGAGACTAATAAAGGAATCAGTTAGCCAAAGAATAATTGATCTTCCAGCTAGTTATCCAAAAAAGAAGCTAAAATAGGGAATTAACTTTTTAACTACTCCGTAAACAATGAGTAGAGGAACAAATTATATTCATGCCTTGTTCTAATTACTACAGGCGAAACTAAATGACGTCACAAATACGCCAAAGTAAGGTTATGTCAAGTCGAGCCAATCGCAGCGTCATTACTACACCTGCAGTGATAGAACAACGAAATAATTTTACAGAAAGGGGAAAGACGAAATTTGTAACACACATTCTCAAAGATTCTTTTTTTTGGTCCAGGAAAAACAAATACATAGCATAGAACTTCTATGATTACAAGAGAATGTTTGGAGTTGAACCTGATGTGTTTATGCTGATGATCTTTTCAAGTAAGCCATAACTCCAATACCAGCGACGAATGCTGCTCCTGCAGCAACTGTGCTGTATGCAGCTGCCCATGCGTCCTTGTGTGCGTACTCGAGACTTCCCGATTCGCGTCCCTTCTTCCTGCGACCCAACCCTGAATGATCTAAATGCAACCTTAAGCTCTGCAAAATAGAACGACTTGACTGTAAGTATCGGTTTCAGCCGACACAAACTTCAGTTGTTGTTAAATGGAAAAGCCCATCAGAATGGTCATTGTATCCTATTTGAACTACTGGCTAGATCAAAATATTGCTTTTACTTCAAAACCTTTTCAGATTAGTATCTTCAATACCACCATCTTTGTTGGAAAGAGAAGTCCAATATGTTAATTAATGTGGCAGTCATCCACCAGCATTGAAACACCCAAGCAAGGACCAGCCCCTAACGAAACCTACCTTCAAACCAGCTTGTCGAGCATGATCCACTGCTGCCACAAGGTCACCGTCGGATGCAAGGATAACTTTGTCATGATCCTCATCTTCGTACTAGGAACAGCATCAGAGAAGAAATCATGTCAGGTTAATATGCCTGTTAAAATAATTAGCCAGAAGATAGGCAAAGTAGGTAATTACCAGTATCTGTGGAAGATGACTTTTATCAATGTCATCACCAACCCTCTGGAGTATGCAAGTTATAAGATCTGTCAAGCTCTGTGTTTCTGCAGCGTCCAAGAAATCTAGTGATTAGTTTTTTAAGATAGTTGTTATGTAGTAATAGTTTTTGAAGGCAAACTGTTAAGCTGAACTTCTGATAGGAGTACATACCACAGTTAAATCTATGCATTCTGCCATGTTTGTCCTCAAGCTTAAACCCAAAACTAGTAGATAAGCTTGAAGACGGATGTAAAGCATATTTTATTCTCTCTGTGGCTTCAGATGTGACTCTTGTAGATCCTTCACTGAAATACAACCATGGTGAGTTATGGATGTTATTGATGAATAAAAAGATTCGGTATGACCATTAATTAGGTACATAAAGGCATGTAAACCTTCGAAAATCATCATCATCATCCAAAGGTCCCAAGGACAAAAAAGAATCCCAAAACTTCTGCATCATGGAGCTTGCTGTCTGGTTTCTTGCACCTGCATTGCTTCCGGCCTACATGCATGATAAAGAATGGAGGAGGAACAATAAATAAATAAAAGAATATCCTCAAGCAGAAGTTTGAAACTCTTTGCTACATGAGCAACACAACAAACAAAGTGCATGCTAGATAAGCATTAAGTTAACCGAGCAAACAAAGTGATTCACACTATTTTTCCCAATATTTGATTCCAATAGCATAGAGATAGTTCAATTTAAAACTAATCATAAACTAAGATTTGTCTTTCCAAAACCAAACTGTTGGATGACATCACCATTCATAAGTGTTACCAATCTGCCAGAACACTGCTACTGCTCAGCCTGAAAAGTTCAAAGTCAAAACTCCAGAAGTTTATTGGTATTTAAGAGACCTGTTATTTCCATTTCTATAACCAATGTTACACCCATTCCAGATTATTTCTTGATAAACTGGAGCAGCACCAGGCCAGTTATCGCTTTGACCATATTTAAATGGGTATGGAGAATGTAATGAGGAATTCCGAAAGTTATTTCAGAACAATGATAAATCATGTGAGAAGTGTGATGCAGGACCATCTATGAAATGATCTGATAATGAAACCACAGGTCCAGAAGAAGATGATTTGGATCTCACAGAGAAGAATGACTCAATCGAGTTGCATAAGGTAAGACATTGGATAAGGCGTGTTCTGAGATTGAAGGCGATGGAAGATGAGTTCATGGATTATATGATTAACATATGATATTCGAAGAAGCATTTTAGTTTTAGGAAATAATATTGAATTTGTCATTAAAGAGCTTATATCTGATTCAAATAAATCAATGCTAGCAAGCATATAATAGCAGTTTATGACAAGAGATCTAGGGTATGATAGTCTCTAGAACAAGCTAATAAAGATTGTAAATGTCAAGATTTTTACTCCAGAATCAATTTACTGTTGTTTATAAATTTCAAGTCAATATTACTCAAACATATAGACAGAATATAGTACCAGTGGAAAAGCCCTATGACACTGACAAACAAGAGAAATTAATAAGGAAAAATGAGAGAATGAGGAAAAGCTACAAGAAAGAAAACTTGTCTCAAAAAAGAAAACAGATATATTCTAACCAAATAATGCATTGAACACCTATAAAAATAATCAAGAAGGTGAATTGCCATCACATCATTGCATCAAATAGGATGATTCCTTACAACACAAAGAGGAATTCTGAAGTGAAAAAGAGCCATATTTGGGCAGTGGTACACATACATGAACAACTAAAACCAAGCAGCACATCCTAATTAGAATGTTGCCACATGGTATCACTAAAACGTCATTCACTTTTCCAGATCATGAAATAATCATCTTGCAACAGGCAATTATAATGAGATTGAGAATCAGACTGCAAATAGCATCCACTTTTTTTTATTCAGTTCAGTAGTTTATTAGATAAGTATAAAACTGACATGCAACAAAGTAGAGAGGAAAGCATATACATGAAATTGTTCCACAAGGTACAT